CACTTAGTTATGGGTTCGTCTTTGATCCATCAGGCATAAATTTCAATGGCAAATCAGTCGCTTCAAGATTTACTGTGAATTGGCCTATGATTGTTGTTGGCATTCACCTGTTATGTACTTCTACGTTATTTTGAGAACAATTTTCTCAATGCATTGTACAGCTGAGAAACATGGCCATTAAGACTCAACTTATCAAAGTCATTTTCAGAATGCTGGAGCTGTAATAAAGGCGGACTTGACAATTTCTTTGAATACTGTAACAGTATAGCAGTGGCGGCGGCACCGGGGGAGCTGTCGCTCCTCGGGAAAATGTTGAAGGGGCGTCGCCCCCACCCTGTGTGTCAGCAACATTTGCTCCTCAAAATGCAGGAAATAACATTTCAGAGGGTCTAGATTTCAGATCTTGCCTCCTCGTGCAAAATGTTGTGCCACCGCCTTTGCATGGACAATAAAGTACTGTACTACGGAGTTATCCTTACCATGTGCCCTAGTAATTAACCAGGCTATATAGTGCCATCCTTTCCACTAGCCATTTGAGTTTCGGGCGCAAAGATCAGACCACAATATCGACAACACAATCCACTAATATAAACGACAGATTTTCACCAGAGTCAGGGCATCACCGACGGATTGTGTGTTGTCAGCTGCTGTACAGTGTCTACATCACTGGACAAGAATTCTCGTCACATGATATTAATAAAGTTCTCAGTATAGCACCAAACACCCCAAGTGCATTTTCAGTCATGCCTACTACAAGCTTGTAAACAAATGCCATGATATCTCAGTCATATCGCTATTGTATACACTACCTTTTTTTATTCTATTTATTTTATTTTATTCAACTCAAACAATATTTATTTACTCACTGTTTACTATAGCTAGAGCGCTGTACGTGTCTTCATTTTCAGGTTAGTTCTTCTGCCGTTTTCTCGCAACCAACAATGTGATTTTTTATTTGGAATTTCGAGAAACTTAACATGAATCGTTACGGCATTCATACGCACAACATTTCGCCATGTTTCAACTTTTAAGTAGTCAGTTAACAAGGTCTTTCATAGTAGCATTTTTATGGGATTGACGTAATAGCATGAATGGGTTCAATTATCAGTGTTCACTGATGACGTCATTTGACTGGCCCTCTAGAGGCTAAATGACGCCAGGAAAAACGGACGTTTGTCGTCTGCTTCACAGCCCGTTTTATACCAGATATTTAGGGCATTTCGCAGCACATAGAAGTTGTTTTTATCGACAGAATTCATTCATAGATCTCAAATGTCATGTACAGTGTGTCAAAAGCCACACCTCTGCTCCCCTTTAAGTGTAGGTGTCACCGTTCGAAGTGTCAAACAACACCTAAGATAAAACGTTTGTCTGAACAGAGAGCTGACTGGGAAGTTGGATTTTATATCACGCGCATTTTCTGTAGACCAGATCTAACCTTGCATACGTGACTCCATGCGCAGCACTGTCCCTATGTTTGCATTGTCAACATGAAATTACTAGTATTATGTGTTGGAGTAAATTATTTACGCATTGACGGTTCATGGTCACCCACCAGTCAACTGTACATCACCTTACGTGTTTCTAGGCATGCGCAGCAGATCGACGTTTGTTTGCGAACAATATGTATTGGCCAGCGCTTAGCTCAAATATAACTCGTGTACATATTCCATACAAACAAACAAACAAAAAATGAAAGAATTCGATTTCCGTGATATGGGACATTTCCTCGTGCAGTCAGTTGAATCCATGAAGAAAACACCCCCGAGTTGGATTTGGTATCGTCCACTAAATGCTTCACATATAATATATGATAATATATTCGTTCCATGTTTATGTGTCTATTTCACACAAAGACGGCTGTCTTTTGTGCCGGTTCGTATCCACAATGCAAGCCACTTTCACTCCCCGTGACCATATGTGAAGGGAGGTCTATTGTTCGGAGTGCTAGCAAAGTTATAGTCCGTCGTTCTCTCCAAGTAGTTAGCTAGATATATATCCAGCTTTCCTTCATTACTCAGGTATGCTTTGTTTAATGGTTTTAGACATATGTTAATCAACGGTTAATGTTTGATTCACTGACCCAGCTACCATTTTCAATGCTTAGTATTATTGTATATTGTGTTAACATCGTTGTGTGAACTATCTGGGTCAATTTTATTCGTTACACTGTATACTTGATATCACCGTCATGAAATCGTTAGAATTTATCAGCTGGTCGCAGGCGTGTTTTTTTATGAATAGCTTTCATTAGCAGTAGGGTTACTCTTTCCTGTTAGCGCGATTTACTGAGTGGGGAAGGATTAACATGGAACGTGGCGTAGGTACAGTAGTGAATCGTCATATCAGAGTTGGCCCTTGGTACGGTGCCTCACGATCGTCTCTGTCCAAGCACAGTCCCTCTATCGATAGAGTGACTGCGGTCCAAGGAACGCCCTATCTCTCGATACATTGGGGCTAATTAATGAATTAATTAATACATTGTATATATATAATCGCTCGGCTTAGGGAACGTTTTTTCCGTGACAAGAAATATTCACGAACTTTCTGACATACTGTAAAATGACTAATTTTAACTGGTTTTAAATTTCACTGATTTACCATTTCAGGCATATTCAGTGGGTTTTCAATTCACGGTTTTGTTATTTAGATAATGTGTTCTATGTTCAATTTTAAATATTCACTGGGTCATAATTAGCGCATTTTTCACTCAGCGAAATAAGCTAAATTAAAACCCAGTTAATAATTAACCCCTTTACAGTACCTATGGTCTCAGACAACTAATACAGTTGTCTGAGCTAGGGTCAATGACCGATAGTATCACTATGACTCCAAGTCACATTGCGCATAGTTAGAATGTTTACATTTCGTATGTATCAGGGAATGGACATTCAAACACAATTAGATCGCAACAACGGTTAATACTCATACAAACGTAATATATCAATTAGAGCATGGTATATGACCTCAAGATATCATTCTGCTCACTCTTGTTATGCGATGAAAAAAATACAATTTATTGCGTGATCGTTAAATAGAGAAGTGATCGCGAAAAAACAAACTTGTGTGTCAGCTGATAATAGATAGATCTAGTTAAACGCCAACCAGTGTTTTTATTAATCAATAATTCACTTAGTTGATTTAATATTGTTTTGTATTTTTGAATAATTAATGTTTCAGAATAATTTAAAGCGGAAGGGTCGTCACCTGCGCACGCGCGGGAATTGACTCCCAAGCGACGATAACAACTCACGCTAAAAACGCAAAGGCTCACGGGCAGACGCTTGTTTGTAAACAATGACACGATATGGCCATCTGACGCATGCGCATGTGACGACCCCCCCCCCCGCTTTAACTCTTTTCTATGTATTCCATTATGCAATCCAGTGTACACTATGGTAGTCAGTGACATTGCTACTAACACATGGTTACTTTGATTACATTCCAGATTGAACATGTGATAATTTATTTTTAAAAAGTACTGTACAAGATGGAAGAATATGGATACTTCAGAGACATACACTGATTAATGGTAGTGTCTTCAGATGGCTACGGTTCGCGCTTGTCAACATTTTAACAGAGCACACTTCATGTCGAAGAACATATACAAGTGAGAGAAGTGTAGGAACTCATTGCATAATCAAATGAATTCGACAGAACATTGCAGAATCGCTGTTACAGAAACACCAGAAACCATGCAGTCACAAGACCAAGCTATTCCTATCGACGATACTCCATATAACTGTAAAAAGTGTGGGAAATCATTCAGTACGGAAATTATCCTCGCTCAACATGTCGCAAACCACGCAGATGAAAAACCATACACTTGTAAAAAGTGTAAGAAATCCTTCAGTTATAAGAGCACCCTGGCTGGACATAGTCGAACCCACACAGGTGAAAGACCATTCACCTGCAAGAAGTGTGGGAAATCATTCAACCAGAAGAGCACGCTACAAAAGCATTATGTAGTCCATACAGGTGATAAACCTTACACATGCAAGTGTGGAAAAGAATTCACTCAAAAAAGTACACTGGTAAAACATTACATAATCCACACAGGCGAAAGACCATTCAGCTGCAAGGATTGTGGGAAATCATTCCGTCATAAAAGGAATCTAACAGAACATTATAAAATTCATTCGGATGTAAAACCCTATAGTTGTGAGGATTGTGGGTTATCATTTCGTCTAAAGGGTCATTTAAAACGACACTGTTTAACAATGCATGGGTTTCAGAAAACAAAAAGTGCCACACAACGTAAGAAATCACTCAAATTGGTTAATAAATCTCGAATCAATTCCGGTAAAATACCATACAGTTGCAAGCAGTGTAGGATGTCTTTTCTAAACCAGCGCTCTCTGACTCAACATTGTAGAGTTCATAAAGAAAAAAAAGGCAAAAAAACACCGCCAGGGCTACAAGTTACAACAAAAACAGCGCAGAAAAACAATAATTCTAGGTTTAAAAATATGATTGTATGTAGTTTCTGTCTATTTAAATCACGTTCTACTGTAATATTAATGAAGCACTACAAGAAACATCATGTGAATCATATAACAATGTACCGTGGTATTGCAAAAAAGTACAACTAGTACGATATGAGATTCCAAATACGCCACCATATCCAAACGACACAAGTATTTATTTAATTAATCTATTTAATATTCACCGCAATGTTTGGTACAATACGAAAATGGATTTTATTGTTTTGTGTTTTAATTATTAATCAACACTTCAAACCGCGCAGAGGTCTATGTTGTACATGGCAAGAATATTGGATTGTTATATATTCTTTACCCTCACCTACGGCAGTGAATGATGGACAATATCATGGCTATGGGAAAAGATATTACCAATCAGTTGAAATCTGGGTTTACAAAAGAATGCTCCGAATATCTTGGCTTTATCACATGCGAAATGGAAACTTGTTGGAACGCAGTTCAAATTTCAAAATAAAGGGAAATTATCAAGAGGAAGACAGAAACTCATTTTCATCTCGAGTTTCAAATATTGGATGAAGATTAGCGAGAATGAAATTAGTCAGAACAGCACAAATCAGAGAATTATTTAGAACTGTTATGATAGAGACTTCAGCTGTTACCTCGGCTGACTGTGTGAATAAAGCTGGACTATCTGTAATGAACTTATGTGTATTCATTTGGGTCGAATCTGGTGAGTGACATCAGCCAAGCGATACGAAATTCCCTGATCCCTGAACACAACGCTAATGTTCATAACAGAACTATGGAAGCACTGGGAACATAGAAATTGATATGTAGATTGTGATTGCAATTGCACACATTATGAAACAAGTGTAGTTTATATAAATAACATACCAATACGTTATGTTCATTTATAAACAGTCACCCACTTTTCAGATCATATTACATTGTGAATAAATATGTAAGACCAAATCTGATTTTGATTTTGAATCATACAACTATCTTGAATTTGTTAAAAATATTAACGCTGTACATAAGAATTTCTTCATGTGAACTATCCATGAGAAAAGAAGCAAGTACTAATTAAGATTAGACACGCACATTTATACATCAGTCTAATATTGGTGCAATCGAAGATAGTCGCTGCCAATTTATCGATGCACAATCCTTGCTGGTTATAGAACAAACATCAACGATTTAACTAATTTAACCGCATTTTTACTCGCATTCTAAATTAATAGACGAATAAAAGGAATAGAATTAACCGGAACTTAGTTGTGGATATATTCGTACATTTGTCTAAACAAAGAGTATTGCTACTTAACAAGTAGTGCTCACCGTTTAGTTATTATTGGTAGTATTTTTCTCAACGATTATAGTAATTGTTGTATGTGTACTTTAATATCGGACTCTTGTGGTACGGGATAAAGGAATTAATAATAAGTATATAATGTCTACAATAACACATTGAATTTATAGGAATAGTCTATGGCAATACCATCCAATAAAAGCACTGTGAAACGACTTAATTGAGAATAAAATCAATTTGATCAGCTCATCTGTGTTACTGTTAGATATGCAGAACTTTACTAAAATACAGTTTGCCTTACAAACATATAGTACAACTTATAGCAACATCGGGTGGCTAGCCATCTGTGGATCCGTGATACTTTGCAGTGTGCAGGAGTGGGATGAAATCGACTCAATGGCCAGGTACGGCTGCCATGTTGAACGGTGAATACTATATAATGGAACAAAACAAAAACCAGTCAGGTCCATGTGACTAAAACACTAAATGGGTTTTGAAAATATCTATTTTATGTCAAAACACAAGTAAGAACAAATTGTTACCAGCCCTGGGTACATTTAGATGATCTATATCAAGCGATATCTAACATTCATTTGTCTTGATGTTTGGTATTCAGTGCGAGTTCTCTATTAACGGACGTTCAACAACTACTATACCCGCTATACGTCAATTACAATGGTATTTGCATATCAGCGGACTACTTATTCAACCGTTTCCCCTTAAAAGGACGGGGCGATCTCATTCTAATTCGTCTTCGTCGATCGGTCGCTTGGTTAATCTTTGTTGTCCAACTACACGTATCTCCAGGCGTAGCCGCGTGGCTGTTACGTAGCAACCAACTGATGTCAACATATTGTTCTCTATTTGCCGATTGAAATTTTCACAATAAATGGAGTGTTTTATAACTAAAACTCTACCGTGCCCTTAATGATTCCTTCAACGAGCACAAACAAACAGGTTTTCAACTTGGTGACAAAAAATCATATCATATCATATATCAGTTTATACCATGAATCAGGTCTTTATTATAGTTCAAACCTGTGGCCCAACATAACAGATTACACACTCAAAGAAATAAACAACTGTAAACCGTTCTCATCAATTCAACAAATTTATTATATGAAGACAGTATAAAATAATATAGGAATGTTTTTTTTCTCAAAAACAGACAAATTGATAATATTAATCTTAAATACTTTTAATATGATGATTCCTGACAGTTTCTATTCTGATACAATGAGACGAGCAGCGAAAATACCTCTGAGTGGGACATATACAAATAATAAATAACGTTCAGTTTCAAGACAAATCCATAGTTGAAATATCACCATGCCAATCCAAATACAAACTATATTTCAATCTATAGAAACTAAGATCTTATGAATCTACATCCGGGTATTGTCGCTCAATCACCATTCATCCATTGCTTATGCGAACATGTTACCAAGATACGACAACCCTTTCACGACCATCGTGCAATTTCGATGTATTCCAAAAAAGTGATTCCGTTTGATGGAGTTTCTGATACGAAACAGTGTGAGTGGACAATGTTCCCGAAATGAATATTATAATATGCTATTTCACACCGAATTATGAACAGGCAAACAATGTTTCTTCTTTAGAAACAGAAAGAACCTAAATAATCATACTCTCTTTTTTGTTTGCATTTGATATGAACTCGGCAATGCTCAGGCTCTCCACGTAAATCAATATGTGTTGTTCTCCTCCCGCTCAGACAGTACTCAGGCATAGCGTGGTCATGGTCGCATCGACCTCCGCTGCGCGTCGGTCGATATTGCCGCTGTACTGTCTTCGTGCATACTTTGCAGTGCCCTCGCAATAACCTCATAATATTATTCGGATATATCGAATACTTATAGGCTGCCTCAAAAATGTGTATGTTTTCGTCCTAAGTCTCAATCAGCGTCCATCAGCTCTCATTCAAAATAAAACGCACTATGATGTTAATTGGTTACGAGCATTAACGACCATGACCTGTAACTGTTCACGGTCACACATCGAGTCAACTGTCAAAGGTCACGTAATAGATCGTGTGTAGTAGATTATATGGGCAGGGGTGTTATGTGGGGCTAAGGCTACTGTTCTAAAGTGGGGCAATACGTATTTTCCCGTACTTAACTCAAATCTTATTTATATACATCTACCATACAGAAAACAAAATGGATTGGTTCACTTAATGTGAGAAATGCTTCTTAAGTTGATTTGTTTCTTAAGAAATACCCCCTAATCGAAATACTAGTATAGTATCAACCAATAAATGCGACCCTCACACAGCGAAAGGCTTTGGATCATAAACGAACACCATACACTTTTTTTTCATGCAACCGTAATGTGGTGGACTAGATGCTCAATGGAGTAGTAACCACGTACTTAGATAGACCGTGGTAGCTTATTTCCATATTCAGGTATTCTCTTTATTCAGATTCGTATTCATCAGTTTAGACGAGTGTGTTAATTTATTGCTGTGTTATTTATGCTGAACTCTTGTCATAGTACATCCACAGGGGATGTGTGTCGCATTATTATTGGTATTTGTATGCACACATACACACAACGTGTGATCTTTGTAGGTCGATAATAACTGGTTACTGTGAAATTCCAAACATGACACGATACAGCCAGGGAAGTTGTGTATATATCGTGGAAGCTACTATCGATTATGACCTTCTTTCCATGTAATGGTTTGAATACATTATCTAAAACTTGTCGTAAAACGACATTTTTTCGTGTACATATAGATTTCACCCGTTCATATATTTTTGATTGGAGATATGATGCGACTATACTGTATAAAATAAGAGTATCACAGCGTTTACTTACAGTGCGTGAATTGTGGAAATTTTGTTGTTGGTGGAACAACCTAAATGCAATTTGTGGGCCCCATGCGAAGCTTTGTATAGGAATGAAGGTCATTAACACCGTCCATGTTAACACCTAAAACATTTCTCTAGACTGGTCTTTGGAGGTGGCGGTTGGGGTGGCGTCGGTAAGAAATATTAGGTGTTCGTTGTAGTTTAGTTTAGTAACGATGGTGTAAGGTAGTATAGAATGTAGACATGGATCCAAGAATGGGATAGTAGTGTCTGGATAACCCATATTGTACTGGGCCCCATTACACAAGGGTCTTCGGAGTTGGCTGGTAGTTGCATTCAATAAGCTTTCAACCATTCTAATTATGTAATTAACTGTTTTTTTTGCCGTGAATTCTATTATCTAGCCTGACATGTAGGCATGAGTAGGCCCTCACCGTCCGAACGGCATCAGACCTTACTGTTGGATTTGGAGCAGCAAGGAGGGCGCAATTCACGCGACCTCGTCAGGTTATCTATTATCATGACGCAATCGGTATCTAAATTTATATTTCGTGGAATTTATTTTCCAGAAAACAGTGAAAAACATGCAGCAATACAAAGAATTGATAGAAAGTTATATTATTCATTCTACATCCCGCTACAAATGTGGTTGAAGCCTCTTTGTTTTTTTAATTCAATGTTATTTTGTATTTGAATACAAGTAATTACACTGGTTTGAAATAGTGTATACATGTGATAATGGTGTCAGTGTGCATTCGAAGTCCACTAACTAATTGTGCTATTTGTAGAATCTATTCCTTTATTTTTACTATTTTTTTCGCACTACAAATCCTTTAGTCGCATTCATCATCTGAGATGACTTTATATCTCGTGTATTTGTACTTACTATTTTTTACAGAAGAGAAATATACAAATACTTCTATTCATTTTTCTATTCTCCATATTTTGTTTAATGTTTTGGAAAATTATTTCTTTTCATATTTTAAAAGTTTTGCGACATTATACCCCCACGTAGACGAAACCCTAAAACGAATCCTTTTGGTTTTAAATATGTGCTTATTATTAAATATTCATTGCATGTATTAGTGTTGCAATGTAATAGACGTCACAATGTTTTATCCAACGCACCCAATAACAATAGACTAAGCAACTAATTGATTTGATATTTAGGGTCAAGTTTTGTGCCCAAAATACAATCATAGACAGCAGTGTTGAGTAAAAATCAGTTTTACGATTTATCAATAATCAATGCAGGTTCCATAAGTTAGTTACACATAACTTACACCGTAAAACTAATGTAACCGAAACTATATTTAATAACAACAAATACCAAATTCTCCAATATAAAATATAATTAATAAAATACATCTGTAAACTACATGCTGTAATTTAATGTCATTAATTACTTTCCATGCATTCAAAGTAACTATAATTGCATCCCGACTATGATTCCAATGACAGCGACTGACCATGACTGCTATGAATATTCATGAAGCTCCTTGTTTATGGGATTTGATGGGTTTATATAGAGCGGCCAGGTGAACATGTGTTGCGGTTTGTTGTTAAACCGGTGAGATCTTAAAACGACTCGCATTATAGGCGTGCTCGCCAGCAAACGGAGTCTCTACGGACTTTATATTTTAATCAGATTGCTTTTGATTTATGTACACAAATATAACTTTGTTTCTGATTATTTTGCAGGCTGAGCAGATACGAATAATTAGTGTAATGATGGGAATTATTCAGATAACCGGTTACAATATGGTAGATACCAAATACTGATACTTCACTGAACGACTATACTTTGACGCATACTGGGTAATGGAAGCAACGAGCAATGTAGAACATCTTTATGTCGAAGTTTTCAGGTGGCTGCAAAGAATGGTACAAATTACCGATAAAAGACTGCACACTTGTGAATACTGTATGTAATCATTTCATCAAAAAGACAGTGGAATGTATAACGGTGACAACGTACACGTGTGTAAGTACTGTAAGAAATCGTTCCGCTACAAGAGCAGTCTGGCTCAACATTGTATAACCCATAGTGGCGAGAAATCACACACTTGCAAGAAGTGTAGAAAATCGTTCAGCTATAAAAGCTCACTGATTAGACATTTAAGAATTCACATAAATGAAGGCACGTACTTCTGTGAGAAGTGTGGGAATACATTCCGTCATCGCAAGAAATTGACAGAACATTATAGAATTCACAGAAAAAAAACATATTGGTGTAAACATTGCCCTAAATTATTCAGTCACTTAACTACGCTGTCTAAACATTTAAAATACCATGTTGTGAAAAAAACGTACAAATGTGAGAAGTGTTTGAAATCATTCGAAACGAAAAGCCATCTGAATCGACACAGTAATATTCACATAGGTGATAAGTTACACAGATGCAAGTGCTGTAACAGAGCATTCAATCACAGAGGCACCCTGACTCGACACAAACGGATCCACTCAGATGAAAGACCATTTAACTGCGAGCAGTGTGGAAAATCATTCCGTCATAAAAGGAATATGACAGAACATTATAAAATTCATTCTGGTGAAAAATCATATAGCTGTGAAGAATGTGGGTTATTATTCCGTCAAAAGGTTCATTTGAATAAGCATGTTATAACAATCCATAGAAAAAACAATATGTCAACTGGCACAAAGACAGTGCAGCAAAAAAAAAATTCTGGTTTTAAAAATATGATTGTATGTAGTTTCTGTCTATTTAAATCATGTTCTACTGTAATATTAATGAAGCATTACAAGAAACATCACGTCAATCATATAACAATGTACCGTGGTATTGCAAAAACCACCTAATGGTACGTTATCTTTTATATAATACTAATGATGTATTATGATGTAACTATATCTATCCAATATACCATTCAGTGTAATAAAGCAGTGTAAAAGTTTCTTTATTTTAATACTGTGTTATATTTTTTGAATTAATATTATTAGGAATTAATAACTTAACCGAACACAAGTAATTTTGTGTCGATTTTTCACGGATTTCGTGAAGGTTCCAGTTTGAATTGACTTCAGAATTATATTAGTATTTATGATACCAATACATCCCAAGCCCGTTGCTGTAGAAATGGCTTTAAAACAACGCGTATAATCACAATAGGAGAAGTTAACGGAAATATTTGTGGTTATGAACGAGGATCTGTTAAAATGAGCCAGAACGCCCAGCGATGTCTTGAATACGAGACTGTGATTACATGAATTCAACGATCGACGATATCTGCATATGTACCTATTATCCACTCGTTGACAATAGTCAAAATAATTTGTTTGAAACCTTTGAAAATAATCAAATGAAGTATATAAAAATACCGGTAGTACTATTTTGATTTGGACATATAGTACCTTCATCTCCGAATAACTGGGTTGTCATCAAATAACAGATATCGAGACTTGTCAGTTGATGCTCAGACAACCAATCAAATTGTTGTATTTGTTGTCTGAGTTTGGTATAGGTCTGCTAATGTTCGTACACTACACAATTTAAACTTTTTATATATTTATATCTTTCCGGCTTTACGAACTTGAACGTTGAATGATTATCTGTGATGTGTAACGTTGTCATATTCAGAAAAAAACACCACAGCCAATTACAGCCAAGATGGCATCTCTATGTTATGTTGACCAAATGTTACAACCGTCTGAAGGTAATACATGCATGATATACTGTGTACGATTGCTATTTCAGACTTCCGTATTGTTTAGTTTGAGCTAAGTCGTGCATCCTATGCAACAACAATATGAAACTAGATTACAAATTGGTAAAAGACAATATAGTGACACAACGCAAATGAAAGCCAGATGGCTAAACATCACAGTGGTTTAAAACCAAATATTTCTAAAGCAGTCAGGAAGATCGTTTAGTCTCCAGATTTCCCTATGACATTATACAGACAAACGAAGATACAGATGCAATGAGTGCGGTAAATCATTCGCTATCTTGGTAAACATTATAGGATTCATATTGAGGAACACGTATTTGTGAACACTATGGGAAATCATTAAATTTTAAAGATATGACTATAGAGTCAATACCAATGAAATGCCGTAAAGCTGTAACCAGTGTGGGAAAGTACTACTTTTAAAGATCATAATGACAAAGGCCATGCACATTTTTTCAATGTGGGAAATCTTTTATTGAAAAAAACACACTGAAAACACATTTTATTATTCATACTGGTGAAATGCCATTTAGTTGTGAGCTGTGTGGCAAACCATTCAGATACAAAATACTAGTAAGTCTAACAGTCATTATATAATCTATAATGTAATCCATACATTTGATGCGCCATTGGGACAACGTGGACAACGTGAGTGTATGTAGTTTCTGTTTACTAGTAGAGAGGAAGCAGGTGAACAAACCCGGTCAGAGTTCAAATAAATCATATGTAAGTTTTTGCACACAATTGGAGTGTATGTCATATGTGTGCATATATTCCACTGATGTTACTCCTGTTCCACTGATGCAGGTAGCTCACGACGCATGCAATTGTTTTTATTAATTGGAGTTATCTGAAAGTATAAGTATGTTCACAGTTGTTCACATCAATGTAGGTATTATATAGTATATAAGCAATTTAGTATTATGTATAATTATGTACATGTACATATCATTATTCCTATTGTAGATCTATATTTTAGGGTTTTGTGGATTTTTGAGCATCATAGTTGTCGCACCTGTTTAATATGGTCCAATGTGATGTGTACAACGTATATGAAATACTGAAATTCTAACGCACTGTAGTGTGTTATAAAATTACTATATGTAATTAAATATATAGATATTACGCAATTATGAAAGTGTTGTACTTTAGTATGAATCACAAAAACAAGCAATATAATCCGTGTACATTCACAGCCTACTAATCAGATAATTTGAATATATTACAAATTAAAAAAAATGGCAAAAAATGTTTTTATTTAATGTGCTGATATTAATATATAATCTATTCATGTTTATGACGGGCTATCTTATTTGCATATTGTTTTTTTTTTAAATTTTCTGTTTAATTTTTAGTTACTTGAATGGATGAATACTATACTACACATTAATTAATATTTACTTAATTATTATATATAATTCATTCGATTGTCCAAAAATGTAATTGCCAAATTTATCATGAGTTCATGTCTTCGCAAGTCGATGGTGTCTCTGCAATGGATGTAAGACAAATCTAAATACAAGCGCCAATAGACGGCTGCAAAGTTGTGTTGGTTTTAGAGAACAACGAGCAAATGGTGTGTATTAAAAAGTTTCACTAACAACATAAATTTGAAGCTTGGTTACTCCGACATCATATTTGAATATTTATATGACAATACTGTATTGCTATTGGTCCAAATATATTCAACCCACAAGTTGTATAAGTACTTTCGTATACAACGCTTGAAACGAGTATCGCCCTCTATCGGCATATATTAAAATAGAGAGGGCGTACATAATTCGAAAGTATAGTATTAGTTGTATCAGTATTCTCCACGGCGTCGCACTTTCCATCTGTTTGCCGGGAAAATCTATGGGGCTTTCGCTCGCTGAGGAAAGCGCGATGAAGCCCTTGTGTGAAACCTTTGTGGCTAATTCACTCTACTGTGCGGTAACGTTGTGCATTCAAATTTTGAAAAAAATGGACACAAATATTTACATTGCTTGAGAATGTTGTGGTCTGAAATGAACATGATTTCAACGAAAATCACGTCACTAACATTTCGTTGTTCAGTTGTATTTTACGATACCCGCGGTCAAAGATATACATTTACGTCGTATCCACTGGTAATATGTTAATACCAAGTTTAGGTCACTCGCCTTTTTTTTCGAGAATCTAATGGTTGTATGGCGGCCATTTTGTCAGTATTAGAGCATTCTCACCACTGGATCCTATGATGGACACGTGATCATATTTACCTAAATATGCAGATCAGTTTGTGAGCAATTCACACCATATTGAATTGCTATTCGTTTGTCTATTTATCAGCGCAGAATATATATTTGCTTTGAGAGACAATTTTAAGATTATAATAACTATAATGTGTGATGTTGTAGAATGTCATAGAAAGTATTTTTTAAATCGTGTTTATTTCCCATGTACATTCCATTTAAGACATCTGCGAACTCGCTGGCGCCCTCTGGCGTTTCTGTTTCAGTAGTGAGTAATCTTCTTAGTCGGCAATGTATAGAAAGAATTATGACGCCGCTGTGTCTGTCAGATAACTGACCTTTTTTGTAGTAGTCACTAATGTATACTAGACATTTTCGCAAAAACACGATCTGGTTTACGGGTTTATTTGTCTAGTCACGTTCTGTGCTATTTATGCATCTCGATCACGCTCCTAGTCGCATACAACTCGAGAATGTCACGTGTCATCTCAGTCAAATAAATCGCCGTTTTTATACATCATAGTTATAATGTTTATCATACACCGGTGCTATACACAAATGTAAACACAAAAGTGAATCCAATTAATATAAATTTATTTAATTTAATTATCGTCTACACCCTCCCCAAACACCGTGATTTAAATCAATTTATTAATTTAATTTTCTTCTACATCCTCCCCCAACACCGTGATTTAAATCAGCCCACCCCGGGGACTGGACTTGACGTTCTTTATCGGCTACGGTAAAGATGTAAGAAATAATACATCTATTTATAGGTGGGAGAACTTGATATGATATATTTTTCGTTATTATTATTCACTTTATACAATAACATAGTTTTCGTCATTGTCATTACGGATGTAAATAGAGAGGTCATAATCAACTTAGAACTGGTGAAAATAAGAATGTACCTTCACGGAAAAACAGTCTTTGTTTAATCATCGGCAATATTGGACCTGGTAGAGCGTGTTCGAACAGAGATAATAATGCCCCATATATGGCGTCGACTACCCGCAGAGGAAGAGGAGAATAAGGTCTACTCTAAATGTGTTTGGCATTGCTGTAAGTATTGGAAGTAAGGCGACATTCGTAGTAATTGCCCCATTAGTGTAGGTGCTTCGCTGTCTGTGCCCACAATACATACTGGTGCACCCTATCATCGTCTGTAATTGCATCGTTCAAGTTAATGTTGTTTCAAATAATTGTCTGTGGACTGTCTTTTTGCCAATATTATTCGGCCTACATGAAAATTAACCTTGAAAATTTATTCTCACATAACGTGAACCTCAAGTAACCGATCCGTCCTATATGGAGGTACCATGCTTCATTTTAAAGGCGTCATTTGAAATACATTTGTTAAAACTTCTCCAAACCTACATTTATAAAGTCGTGCGCAGAGAGTAGCCTTGTGTCCTACAATCAGCATCATGTTTAAGAAATACGAATGGATTCTACATCTAGGTGTCTGATTTCTTAAAACCTGGATTCGGTTTTTTATGCCGTGTAGTTGTGTACCACTTCCTCAATCACATTTCCCCGGAAACATAAACTATTCTAGATTACACCAACCGTTCCACATGCATCACTTTAACACAAATGAGACTGTGGCAGATTATTACTTTCCCTGTCACATAAATCACATTGTTTTGAAATAATGTCGAATGCACAAATTCCTACCACATGTATCTCACTAAAAGTCGCTCCATACTTTGGATGAATCCATTATAATAAGGTGTGTCACCATCCCTACAACACTAATCGAACTACGTTGGATCATATCTGTCATATGTACCACACGCCACCAGATCTCCATGTAATACTCAACCCCTGCCACATAAATCACACTATGGCGCATTATACATCACCACTGTCAGAATTATATGATAATGTACACCTCTATTCGCAGGTAAATACATTTCATAACACAAAGCCCACAAATTTAACTATATGGGCTTAAGCCACATATTCTTTACTATTTAAATATATCATTTTTCCTGCTATATACGCCACTCCCCCACCACATTGTAACGAAATATACCATCTCTCCACCATATAAACCACGCGCACACATCCATATGAATAACAGTTTGACTGAACATGTATTCCCGGCTATATACACCACGCACAATCCATTGCAATACAAATAACAGACATAATACATAATCTCTCCTGCAATATGTACCACACACCACCGATTCGCATACGGTCTCCCCTGTCATATGCATCATCCCCTGCCACATGAATCATACAATGGCGGAATATAATATGACCCCTGTCATATGCACCACACACCATTTCCCCGCCACATGAATAATTTTACGACTAACCATACATGCAATATATCCCCATCTACCCACCACATCTAGTCCCTCTAGCCACGCGGGTACGAACACTTAGTCACACTAGCTGACCCCCTAGGTACACCAGCACAGTGTATTGCGCTTGTTCAATCTCGGTATGCTGGCGCCTTGGTGTCGCTAAATCTCCGACACATTCAACTTCATGGCTAGTTCAGTCGGAACACAGTAATCGCATGTATACATATTAAACATGTCAAAAAGGGTTTACACTATAAATTATTATTTCCTACAAAATATCATGTCGCTGTCTGTCGTGCACCTGCAGTGGCAGTTACTAATTTTACACAGAATCAATGTGACTTTTGACCTATTTTTTAATACCAATATAAATCATAACCACAGTTTTAAAGAGTTTGCTAATGAATTAAAATTTGACTCGCAATTTTGCCTGTATCTCGTCGACAAGAACTCTTTTTTTCGAATGAATGTGGAAATGTGTAAACAAATAATAAGACTTCGTAGTTCCATTCCAGCTACTTTGCGGATTATACCATTGTTCATGTGGGTAAATCCATGCAGTTACAACATGTGTCTTTATTTGCCTTGTTATGTGTTTGATATTACAATGAAAACCCGTAATATTAATTAGACTGGGATTTGTTCGAAATATTATCGCTATCAGAAAGCTGCTATGTGTTTATGAGGTGCGCGTGTGGAGACAGAAACGCAACCCGTTTTAAAATGGTTCGGTCCAATTGAAAGTCATTGATAGTATCGTTGTATATTTCCAGCAGTAGCAGCAGACGATCGATGTAGTCGTTACGAGGATCGCGCCAAATCAAAGCGGAATATTCCAGTCATTGCGATGCGAGTTGATTCTTAATGCGCACCAAAGCAGACGAATGACAACCTGTATTTGCTGGTATGCCAAGGAATATTGTGAGGTCGTCATCGGTTTTGGAGTTCTACTGATCACTGGTGAGTGGTAAATCAGTTTTATGTTAGACACACTCCGGGAGCACATCACTACTTTCAAGTTGATTCGTAACTATTTCTATAACATTACATCCAACAATGACAATTCACTCGATCGGTTGTGAACTCGCCCATTATCTAAACTACAACCGCAATAAGAAGAAGATGCCGGAATCTACGTAAAATAATTGAAATTTACCGATTTACTGACTTTCATATTTCATTGTTATAACAACACAGTATTGATCGTATCCCATTAAAACGCACGTGCGCGTCTCTACCAATCGAATTATAATATGGCGTCCAGCTGACCGTCACATTGCCTTTGTTCCTATACCAGGCAATCCATCATGTCCTATGTAATATTAACTTGGCCCGTGGACATCGTGATTCATCGGCAAACGTGTTATTAAATCTCAATGGGTGTACTTAAAACGTTAATGGATTTGCTTTTACTAATAATATTGTTTAAATGACAACTTGAAAAGCGCGAACTCTTGAGATAATTCTAGGTGTAGGAAACAGACAGTGGTAT